TGCTCACCATACCAAAAGTAATTATTAGTTAAAATCCAATTTATCCCCTCTATAATAAAATCTATTTGTTTCTGTGGGAATCTTTTGGAAATTTCTAGAAAGTGCTTCGTTGCTTCACAGCCTTTCGTATGGGAAATTATTGTGTATAAGGAATTGACATCTGCAGTTGTATAAGGAATTGACATCTGCAGTGTGCCTGTATGTGTGTCTGTTTTAATATTAACATTATCATTGCATTTATAAAGCACCAACATATTCCGCTTTACAATTTTGGAAAAAGAGAGTATAATATACACAGACTAATACAAAAAGTAGATCTAGCCATTGAAGTTCTTTTCTGCTAAGTACTAAGCTAGGTAGCTCATAAACTTAATATGAGTTTTGAGTTATTCTGTGTGTTTCACTTTGTGACTGATTGTGCTGAACGAAAGTAGACTTTTAGTTTACTTAATGTAAATTTAAGTCAGTGTTGTCATATTGAAGAAATTATTCAAGCCAGATATATTTCTGTATACTTAGATGAGAAAATAATCCCTTAATGAGGCAAATAACTCAAATGAGAGCTGGTTAGTGTGGATAGTACCAGTTCTACCCTGTGTTTGTACCCTAATAATATATAAACAAAATATCACCTGAGATCCCTATTAACCATTTATGAGAGACTCATCCAGGTTTTATTGTGCATTGTCTAAGAGAACACCCATAAGGTTACACATTCACTGCTAATTAGTGATATCAATATGCCTCATCTAATTACTATACTCTTCCTATGTTTCCATATTTGCACTTCTTAGTCAAATTGATAGTTTAGTGGATATTCCTTTTTTTCACTGTCCATGAGTGTTGATACCATTTTAAACACACCCAATTATATAGTTATATCTATGCTCTTTTTAGCATCAAATTTCTAATAGGTAGGTGTCTGTCTACTTTATCTTTTGGTTACAATGACGGACAGGGAGGACGATAACTTTTAACTTTTTGATCTAAACATTATCCCTCAATTTATTTAGCAGTTAGTGAATGTGTAACCTTGTGGGTGTTCTCTTGGGCCAGGGCTGCCCAAAAGGTAGACCCCCAGATGATGTAGAACTACAACTGCCATGATGCTTTGCCATTCTAAATGCATTCTAAAGGCATGCAAAACATCATGGGAGTTGTTGTTCTACAACATCTGGGGATCTACCTGTTGGGCAGCCCTGTCTTAGGCAATGCACAATAAAGCCTGGACGAGTCTCTCATAAATGGTTACTTTATACTGCTAATCTGTAGCTGGACTTAATATATAAGTTCCATCCAAGTATTTCACTTTCTAAATAACAGGACTCGAGTTCCTCCCTCTCTCGGGATCTCAGGTGATACTTTGGACTCAAATTTGCAGTTATTGGTTATTACTTCACGACTGTTCTGTCTGTTAAAGTGTGAAGGTGTGTTATATGGCTACAATAGAAACCAAAAATATTAATAATACAAGAAGTGCCTGGAAGACCTCTGCAGGGGTTTCTTACAAAATTAATTATAGGGCTGATGTTTTCTTTAACATGGCCCTCATTGCATGTTTGGCCAAAAAAGGTTGCGTAACATTGCATCTGTTACAGAAAGTAAATTTTTTACTTTTATTACAGGCCAGCCATCTGCTTGACTAGTGAAATACTTGGACTGTGAACAAAGAGACAATATCTAGAAGGCAGTATAGAGATCAATGAGAACATTTCATTTATAAACAATTCCTTGAGTGTTACAACAAGCAGTGGTCTGTCAAAGACCCACTGTCTGGTTTAAATCACATCCTCCTATTCCCAAATTTATCAAAAGTAATTAAAGAAGGATAGTGTGCTGGGATTCCCAATCCAACATTTTTTTTGTAATAATTTTTACTCTAGATTTGGAGCGTAATATGTTAAATTATGCTGTCAATAAACAAAGCTTTTGGAAAAACGATTGTTTTTGTTGATAATATTATGATTATTTTATTATTCCTCTACTTTTTCAAATGTCCATAAATAATAGACTTGTGCATGGCGAAGAAATTTGTTGTGGCCGAACCACTTCTGCCAAAACAAATTTAAAAAAAAAATACACTTTATGTTAGCAACAACAAAATGTCAGCCATATTACACTTACGAATTTCGCTACAGAAAAAATGTTGGAAAAATGATTGAGACAAATCAAAAAGGCTTACAAAATAGGCCAATCAATGTATTGAAAAATATATAATAAAATAATATAAATGTTATGTATGTATTTTACAGTACACTAACAGGCCAATTTTTCTGCCATTTGGTTCACAGATGAAGTGAGAAAAAGTATCCAATAGAGAGAAAAAGAGAAGCAGTAAAAAAATAAAATTAAATATATATATATAATTTTTCCGTATCTATTGGTCACTCCTCACTTGATCTGTGAATATAATCAACATTTAGTGACTGTCCCCTAGCCATCAGTCACAGTTTTTTCCTCAGTCATGTCTTTTTTTGGCACCACAGTTGGAATACAAAATCACAAATCAACGAATATTCTCCGTTGCACAATTCGCTTGGTTCATGACCCAGCTACTTTTTTGCTTAGAGATGAGGAATTTATACAATCACCCGATCAGCCGGGTTCCAGATGGATTGCAGTTAGTAACGAAAAGAATTTAATGTAAAAAGGCAATTAGACTTGCTAAACTTCAAAATGAAAAAAATGATAGCTAAAGAGAGCAAAACCAACCCCAAAGCATTTTTTAAGTACATAAATTCTAAAAAACTCAAAAATGAAAGTGTAGGTACACTAAAAACTGAAACTGGGTGTTAGTTAATGAAGACCAGGAAAAGGCAGGAATTTTAAATAACTATTTCTCCTCCGTTTATATTAAGGAAGAACCCATGGCAATAATGTGCAAATGATTGCTACTAAAAACTTGCAGAATAATTGTAATTGGTTAACTCAAGACAAGGTGCTGCAGCAACTAAAGAAAGTTAATATAAACAAAGCTCCAGGGCCTGACGGTATCCATCCACGTGTACTTAAGGAACTAAGTGTAGAAATAAGTGAACCTCTGTTTTTAATCTTTCAAGATTATTTTCTTTCAGGAAGTGTTCCGGAGGATTGGAGGAAGGCAGATGTGGTTCCTATATTCAAAAAGGGTTCAAAATCCTTGCCTGGAAATTATAGACCTGTGAGCTGGTAAAATATTTGAAAGGTTATTAAGAGATAATATTCAAGAATTCCTTGAGAAGAACATTGTTATCAGCAAAAATCTGCACGGTTTTATGAAGCACAGGTCATGTCAAACTAACTTGGTTGCATTCTACGAAGAAGTAAGAAGAAGTATAGATCAGGGTGTTGCCGTGGATATGATCTATTTGGATTTTGCCAAGGCATTTGATACAGTTCCACACAATAGCTTAGTGTTCAAACTCAAGGAAATCGGTCTAGATGAAAAAGCTTGTTCTTGGGTAGAACATTGGCTTAAAAACAGAGTACAAAGAGTTGTCATTAATGGTAAATTTTCAAGCTGGACAGAGGTGGCAAGTGGTGTCCCTCGGGGGTCTGTTCTGTGACCCCTTCTGTTTAACATGTTTATAAATGATCTTGAAGACAGCACTGAAAGTCATGTTTCTGTGTTTGCAGATGACACAAAACTTTGTAAAATAATACAATGTGAGCAAGATATTACTTTGCTGCAGAGGGATTTAGATAGAGTGGGGGACTGGGCACTCAAATGGCAGATGAAATTTAATGTTGAAAAATGCACTTCGGCGTAAAGAATACACAAGCAATGTATACCCTTAATGGAAGCGAATTAGGGATAACAACACACGAAAAGGACTTGGGAATTGTTATAGACAACAAACTATGCAACAATGTGCAATGTCAATCAGTAAGGTATTGTCATGCACGAAAAAGGGCATTCATTCTCGGGACGAGAATATCATTTTGCCTCTTTATAAATCACTGGTAAGACCCCATATTGAATATGCTGTGCAATTTTGGGCACCTGTTCTAAAGAAGGATATTATGGCACTAGAAAAAGTGCAGAGGCGGGCTACAAAATTAATAAAAGGAATGGAACATATCAGCTATGAAGAAATGTTAACAAATTTAAACCTATTTAGTTTAGAAAAACGTTGCCTGAGAGGGGATATGATAACATTATACAAATATATTTGGGACCAATACAAACCATTGTGTGGAAATCTATTCACAAACCGGACTTTACATAAGACACGAGGGCATGCGTTTAGACTGGAAGAAAGAATATTTTGTCTAAGGCAAAGGAAAGGTTTTTTACTGTAAGAACAATCAGGATGTGGAATTCTCTGCCTGAAGAAGTGGTTTTATCAGAGTCCATACAGATATTCAAACAGCTACTAGATGCATACTTGCAAAAACAGAATATTCAAGGATATAATCTTTCAATGTAGGGTAATAACTGCTTGATCCAAGGATAAATCTGACTGCCATTCTGGGGTCAAGAAGGAATTTTTTTCCTAGCTTGTTGCAAAATTGTGCTTCAAACTGGGGTTTTTTGCCTTCTTTTGGATCAACAGCAAGAAACAAATGTGAGGAAGGCTGAACTTGATGGACGCAAGTCTCTTTTCAGCTATGTAACTATGTAACTATGTAAATCCAATAAAGAATAAAAATGCATTCCACCACTTATACATACAAAAAGGACCTAAACATCCAACTTCCATCCAACCACTGGGCACAATACGTGAACACCATAGATAATCACGTTTGGGAGGGATTCATCCATCTCACACTGCCAAAGTATCTAGAGGATATTTATCTCCCCATTCAAACACTCCATGCACCCATAATTCTTAGCTGCCAAATTTCAGTATACAAAATAGCTTTATCATTAAAAACACCATGTGCATGATGAATATTGACGAGCATGAAGACGATGTCACCGCTCGCATGTGTAATCACCAAACACACTCTGAGCATTGATATAGAAAGATAAGACTAAAATAACACAAGACATCAAAATAAAAGTCCGGAAACAATTTGGGATTTGATGCAATCTTTTTCAAATTCTTTATTGGCATAAGTAATAGGAGACAGCGGCACTTTTACGAAACACTGCATGAGGAAACACAGGTAGGGTAGAGAAAAAAAATCCAAAACACATATTTCAAGATCATTTTACTGTCGTAGCACAAAGCAGCTCTGTTGAAGCTAAGAGCTGTGTTGAGCTTCGACTGTATCGCTATATTTAACTAGCTCCCATCTGTAGAGAATTTTTCAGCAGTTTGACATTCAGCGGAAAATTATAAATACTTTCTGAAAGTGTAGAAAATGTTAGAAATGTTTTCTGTACAAAATTTACAGAGTAAGTCCCTCCCACTCCCAACCTGCCCTCCCCCTAATTTTGATTTTTAATCACAGTCTATTCCATTGTCCCTTCAAGTCTGCGCAGTTAATCGCCATCTTTACCACATTATTAGCCATCTGCAAAATAAATAGTATCACAAATCTATCTATCTGGAAACAGTACAACATACAAATTATGTAGCGAAAATACAATATACCAAGTGAAATGATTATCCGTTTTGGAATGCATATATGTCTAGTTTTTATATTTTATTTGTGGTCGTATCAATCAAGAAAATAAACGTTTGCTTTGAGATACCCCTAAAAAAGCTTACATAGTGTAAATATACCACTGTTTAGTTGTTTCCTGTTCTTAGCCAGATGAGCAAATTTAATTACTGAACTGATAGCCAGCTGAGTTAATTCATCTAAATCAAAATGAGCTAAATACAAGAAATTGACTGCAATCTGTATACAGATTTAAACAGTGTCTCTGACCATTGTTTAATGTAGTCTACCCATTGTTTAATGTAGTCGACCCTATGAGTGCACAAAAAGGTATTATGTAGGTGTTTGGCTTTCATATATATATATATAATGCACAAGATCCAGCGCACTCACCTATCCACTAAACAGCACCCCCAGTTATGCATGTTCAGGTGAGTGCAGCCAACCTCCCTTGTTTCATTATATATATATATATATATATATATATAGTGTGTGTAAACCGTGACTGCTGTAAAAAAGCATGCTAAATTAGCTGTCAAAGTCTGAGAGACTAAATCTTACAGATAGAATTTTGTCCCACATTTAATTTGGTGAAGGCAGGAAGTGCTTCTTTCAAATGATTTTAGTTAAAAATCAAAACAAAAAAAAAAATCTAAAAAAAAGATATATATATTAATAATATCCAAGAGAAAAAAACAAACAAAACCAGAAGAAAAAAAACTGTCCTTTTTTTTTTTGTCTATTTCCCCTTATCAGAGGGACATATTTCCTATCGCTCCTCTCTAGCAGGGATAGCCTTATCTCAAAGACAGTTAAATACAGTCCGCAGAGATAATTCAAGCCAGCCATAATATGTGTGCTATATACCCGTTAAGAATATTCATTTGAATAAATGCTATTTCTGGTAGAGTAGTGCTCACTTTCTCAGTGCAGTTGTACGTTCAATTTGTTGGTATGTTGATAATCTATATTCTACATTTTCGGGGGGGAACACTCTCTTTTCCTGTTCCTACCCATTGTGTAATAGGCAACTGATCACTTACAAAAATAGTCTAATGTCAAGATCTCTAGAAGCTGAGAAGATTGCTTCCTAGTGAAACAGCAATAAGAAATTTGTTGTTTAGCACATTAACATTGCAATATCAGTGGCATGATGAGTTATATCAACCCCAGGGTGGTCAATGAAAAACAGATGTTTTGATGGTTACAATATATACAGTTTTTATTATAGATTTTGCAACTATATGTGTCTAATCAATATACCGGCAGGGATCAGACATTGTGTGGCTCTCAAACCCAGGATGTGGTGTGTCAACAGATTAAAACCTGGGCTAGAGTACTATGATAATGTTAGAATTGTGAACTAAAATGTTCTATGCCTTAGAATCTATGGTGTTGGTAGAAAGGGTGCAGAGTGCAGAGACCAGTATAGTAATCAGACAGACACAACATACAATTCATTATTCTAATCTCTGTCTTCCCAATGCATCAAGTACATGTACTGATTATAGGTGCAGCTCATATATCAATTATTCCACTAATCGTGTATTGGCTGTAGGGCCAGATTTACCCTCCATGCTGACCCAAGGCCAGTATCATCAATGCACCTCTGCCATATATAAATATATATATCTATATACACATATGCACATATAACGTTTGCTGCAAGCATTTATACAACTAGTTTGGGGTATGATTGATTAGTGAATGTGACTAAGTTGGTGGTTGGATGATAAGTGGGACAAGACTGGGAGAGGGTGTGTTGGTGTGTGTGTGTGGAGGGTGTTTGTTGTGCTGTATATTTGTGGGAATGCTGCTTGTGGGGTTATATGTCTGGGGCTGGCTGCTTGTTGAATTTAGGGTCTGGTGGAGGAATAGGGGCTTTAGTGGTTATTATAGTGTGGTTATAGGGGCTATAGTGGAGAGGATAGTGGCTATAGTGTGGAGGATAGTGGCTATAGTGTGGGCATAAGGGCTGTAGTGGAGGAATAGGGCCTGTAGTGGGGGGAATTGGGACTGTAGTGGAAATTAGGGATTATTGTGGTGTGTATAGTGGCTGTAGTGAAGGTATATGGGCTATACTTGGGGAAAAGAAGCTCTATTGGGGAGGTAGGGACTGTTTCGGGATGTATAGTGAATATAGTCAGGTGGCAGGGGCTGTAGTGAGCTGACAAGTGCTTTAGTGAGGTGACAGGGGCAGTAGTGGGATTCCAAGCGCTATACTGGGGTGACAGGGGCTGTGGTCGGGTGACAGGGACCATAATGTGGTGACAGAGGCTGTATAAAAGTGTATTCCACCCTGCCTTAGGATTACCTTGGACCATAAGGGGGAATCTGATTTCCTGGTGGGAGCTGCCACATGTTTGCACCTCCAGTGGATGCAGACAGCTCCTTCCAGCCGGCGCCGGGAAATGTATAAGAGCATTGCTGCAGTAACCCACTGCAATGCTACAATATAATACAGGCAATGGAGAGCCTGCCTACCTGTCTTTGAGCGCCGGACCTGCAGTGGCTGGCCCAGGGATATCTCCCCTGTTGGCCTCAGCCACACAGCAGAAGAATGGACTAGCGGGTGAGGGGGATCTTTGGTCTCCCTCACCGGCCATGCCACTCTGAGGCCATGGTCTCGGTGGTCTTTTGGTAAATCTGGCCCTGATTGGCTGGCATGTAGCTTTCGCTATTTGGCACAAATTTTTCCAGACATCTTAATCAAGAAAAAGCATATATATTAGCATCTGCATATATCTACCTATATAGCATAAGACATGACAGCACATAAGAAAAGAGTTAAGGATAAAAAAAAAAAAAAAACAGAAGTATGCAACTGATTAAATATGATAGAAGAGGGCCAAATGTGGACACTGATGCTATAGCAAAATAATATCCTTGAGAAAATTTCTGTATACCAACAACAGCAAAAGTTTACAAAAAATCGAAAAATGTATATATCTTTCAATAAGTATTGAAATATAGCTAATTATTAAATGAAACTATTTTTTACTAGACGTCTTATCTTCTTTATCAGAGAGGCTACAATAGCCCATTTGCCCCAGTTTTTAATTCTCCAGGAACCCATGTAGGTACTTAGCTTGTGATCTAATATCCTGTAGATGTCAGGTTATCCCAGGTTAGCCATAGTGCATGCCAAACAACAAATGTGCCACTTACTAAAATCTTACCAAACTATGAAATGTGCATTTTCCATCAAAGGGATCTCATGGGGTTCTAAAAAAAATACAGCCAGCACCCTTTGAGCTCCCACAGTACATGCAGTGGAGGGGTGACTGTCCTAAATTAGTGGGAGGAGGAATATAGAAGACATTAGTGCCTTCTTCTAGTATGTTTCACAAGGTGTCATAATGAATGGAAGGAGGCTGACAATGCTTTTATCTATAATCCCACTCCTTCCAATCCCATGTGCACAATACACATAATAGATCCTCTAGAGTCTAGACTGTAAGCTCATTTGAACCCTCTTCAACCTATTGTTCCTGTATGTTTTTGTAATTGTCTCATTTATTGTTAAATCTTCCCTCTTGATAATATTGTAAAGCGCTACGGAATATGCTGGCACTATATAAATACCAATAATAATAATAAAAATAATAGAACGCAAGAAGGGTGTTACAATGGAGCACTTCCCCACCTAATGTGCTTATGGTTTAAACCCCTTCCTTTATATTTCTATAGTCTTTGTATGTAATAAAATTCAAACCACACAATAAATATGATTAGAAAGGAAGTGAAAGCTACCAAACTGAAACTTTGTTTGAGACATTCTTAGTGGGCAACAACCTATAAGACAAGCTACTCTAAGAGTGTCTCTTAAGCTTTCCATTTATAAAAGAGTAGAGAGACAGAACAAAACAATCATCTTCTGTTTAGATAGGCAACTACCTGGAACTTCCGTTACAGACTCTAATAATTGACCTGATACGCTAATTGTTTGGGTTCCCTGTGAAATAGCACGCATTATCTAACAATTGTTTAAGACCTTGGCAGTGGAATTAGGTGGATGCTTTGCTCAATGTGTCTAGAGAGTTATCAGATGTACCTTAGTGAAAACATTGTGGATCTCTAATGCGGAGGGGACCTCCGTGGAATCTTGGTAATAGACTGCTCCTGTGGGTGGGTTCAGTCTGATAAGCAATAATGTTTCCATTGTTATAAGTAAGCTAAAACTAATTTAAGGTTTTGTGCATTTTTGGTGTGTATCTTTATACATTCTTTTTAGGGAGTCAGCCATAACCGATCATGAATAGTTAATGTAATTTCAAAAAGAGTCAATATATCTTGAAAAATATGTGCAGTTCTCCTGCAATACCTTCAAGTTCTTATTTTATGTCTTGGAAGAGGGCCATGTTAAAAAATTCAAAACCATTAAACCCTGCAGCACATAAAATAAAGTCACAAAAAAATGTTACAAAATCTAATCGTGCAATTACAAATAGCTTTTTTCAGATGCAAGAACAATTGATTAATTACTCTACTACCCTGGATTGCTGGTTTCCCTCTGGTTTTAAAATCAAGGGAACACAACCTTCTCTTTTCCTGGTATAGAATGAATGTTTAATTTTTGTATTTCATCGAGAGAGTGTATTTTTGTTTTACCTGTCATTGTAAGGGTTATTTTTCCGTTGCATTAACATGGTAAATAGTATTGTAGACCCATTTAAAACTTTTCATTTTTAAGTGATGAGGAATATTAAGTGATTTATTTGTGGATTTTATCACCCCTGCAAATGTAGCAAAAATATTGCACAGGTGCATATGGTTAATCGTGGACTTATACCTCCCAACAGTTACAGCTTTGGTGGAATTTAATCTCCTGTCCCTCTATCCCATATTTAATCTTTGGTGTCTTGCTTCTGAGGACACCAGAGATGGGTCCTTAATAAGCACAGAGCAATGATATCAGGAAACACATTTCCACAACAATTAAATGAACTTGATGTATTCTGAACTGTGTTCCTATTGGAGGTTAGCGAGGACCGAGTTTAACTTGGTCCTCACAGGGGAAGCACCTGTCGTGTCTGTCAGGCAGAGACAATGTAAGCATTGCCATATCTACTAAACTGCATTTCTTTACATTGCTGGGTTAAAACTAAAGGACCACTGCACCAAGGTGACTTCTTTGAGAGGAAGTGGTCTGGGTTCCTTCAGTTGTCCTTAATATTTCACAAAATTGGAGCTATATTGCACATGTGATTAAAAGTTCTACGATTCAAGTTAGCAATTTTTCTCCATATTATATATTTACCCTTGGTAGTGTTTGCATAAATTTAATCCTGAAAACCGAAACAATTTGCACTTATTGGGGGCCACACCGACCAACTGTATTATCTACGGGGTCATTGTTAATCTCTGGCACAATGAACAATGTACCTCCTAGTGAGGAATGTTTGCATTTTCTGTAATATGACTATCAAACATATAAAAAAAAGTCTTAAATGCTCCAGACAGAAGGCATTTAAGTGATGGTGTGTGTGAATTGTCAAGAAAAACAAGGAAATGTGGGCAATACTTAAAAACACCAAAACCAAGTACAAAACACCCCAGATTGGCAGCTAAGGACATTATCCAGAGCTCAGCCACTCCATGGATATAAACCTACATTTCTGGGAAATCCATTTATTTTGCAAATGCATTCAATAAATCCTGATGAATAAAAGGCTACATTTACTAAGGGGCAAGGTTGATGTGCAGGGATTATTTCATACATAACATTTACACAATAAACATGCACAGTGAACATACCTCAATAACTGCCAAATTTAAGAACAGGGTACTACCCTATAGAGACACTCCCACCAGTGCCAAACAACAAATATCAATAGACAAAAGGATGCACACCAATTATGGCTCAATACAAAAAGTAATATTTATTACGTAAAGAGACAGCATTTGTACAAAAATCAAAGACATGCAAAACAAGTGACACAGGCTTGAATTAAAGGACCACTATAGTGCCAGGAAAACATACTGGTTAAAATCTTTCCTTCTCCAATCCTCCTACCTAGCGACGTCATCGGCTGAATGCGCAATGCAATGCTTTCCTATGGACGCTGGCGTCTTCTCACTGTGATTTTCACAGTGAGAAGCACGCAAGCGCCTCTAGCGGCTGTCAATGAGACAGCCACTAGAGGCTCTAGGGGCTGGATTACCACATTGTGGATTACCACATTTATAAACATAGCAGTTTCTCTGAAACTGCTATGTTTATAAAAAAAAAAGGGTTAACCCTAGCTGGACCAGGCACCCAGACCACTTCATTAAGCTGAAGTGGTCTGGATGCCTATAGTGGTCCTTTAAAGTGCAACTACTCATAACTTACAGTAAGCCTATCACTGCTGGACATGTGTCAAATAAAGACCCCAATGTTTCGGCACCAAAAACATGCCTTTCTCAAGGGACAGCTGTCTTTTTGTATAAAAATCTTAGAGTAATAAAGATTACTTTTTGTGCTGAGCAATACTGTTTGGTGTGCACCCTTTTATCTATTCTTACATAACATTAACACAGGGGTTTGCTCCCCAATTTCTTAATATTTAAAAAGCAGCAAATTAAGAGACAGCCAGTGCTGAAAATTTAAATTTATCTTTCACTTTGTTTTTAGCATAATAAAAGTATCCTGATTCTGTCTATATGTTTTTTTTACGTCTCCAGTTTACAAATATTTTCTGAGTAAATGTAGGGGCTCTTTAAGCCACAGGCTTTACTTCCTTGTTGAAATATTGTAATTTTAATCTGCATTACCTGTTTGTAATATGATCGAATACTGTCAGCCAGCTGTCACATTACAGATAGTGAAGGTTAACAGAAAAAGCATAGGGCTACCACTTGATTTTTACAGAGCGAGGTACAAGCACTACTTTACCTAAATTATATAAACAATATTGTCATGCTAAAAACACAAACATGATAATCAAAAGGCACAAAATTATTGGAAGGTTTTTGAGAAAAGTTGGTTTTAAGGGTATATTAAAGTGTCTAGAACATTTGACAATTTAGTATTTTTAACTGGTACATTCACTGTTCAGCCAAGCACGTCGATACATGCCTAGATTACCTCTTAAATGGCAGTTTCAGCAAACAACATTAAATGCCTAGCAATCAATGTCATACAATTCATAGTTCCTGGACAATAGAGAAGATGGTATTGTCAATGCATTATTTTGTATATTACATCCATATTAAAAGGACAGATTGGAAGTCAGTGTCATTGTATTCAGTGACACATATTGCCATCTAATTCTAGAAATTGTTCTCTAAGAACTGATTTGCACCTTGATTTATCAGACAATATATACAGCCCATATAACAAAACACGGAGAAAATCCCAGTCTCTCTATAAGGATCTGAAAAATCAATCCTTTTTTCAAATTCTTACTTTCACACAAAAAATATAAACAAAGCTGAATATTTTACAAATTTGCCCTTTAGTAAAGCGGTCTAGCTTTAGCTAGGGATTGCTCCTCTTAACATTTATACAAACTTTTCTAGGGTCTCATTTCCCGAAGTCTGTTTTAATGTGTGCTTCTCTTATATTTTAGCAAGGATAACTAAACTTTAGGAATGATAACTTTGAAGATGCATTTAAGGACTGAGACAGAAAATTCACAGTAATATTTTTCAATTCATTTTCTTAAACCAGCATTTTAAACAGTATGGGTTTCATTGTATGACATTACTTAAATCCCAGTAATATACAAGTTTGGCATCCAAGAGGTTAACATTACTCCTGCCACTCGATCACAGATGTTTAAACTTACACATTCATAAAATCTATGCATGCAGACAAATGGTAAACTGAGCTAGAAGACTTTTTCTAATAATGTCCTTGCAACAGCTGGGTTTAATACCACCTCAATATCAAACATTCGCACAGTGGTAGTTTCTTTGTTAAACCTTTATATACTTAAAAACTAAAACTCGACATTCGAACTAAAAATACCATTTAACCAACATGTTACAGATAGGCAAGTAAGATAAATAAAGCCAAATATTGTTCTTGGGTGCACTTCTGATTTGGTAATCTTGTACTGACTATATATTATACTTTTAGGATACTGGATAAGGCTTGCAGAGTTCTGAAGAACAATAGAAGGGGAGTTAGTGATAGACAGTTACCGATATGCATTATTGAAATGGGGAATCATTGATAAGTCTTTGGATCATTGCTTTACTGTCCCTGTTCACTAAAAAGACCATTAACCCAGTAAGCAAGAACTCAACTATTACTAATGGTAGAATTTATTGGTAAGCAGTTTCCGTTCTGAAAATGGTCGTAAGGTTAATGCTAGGACTTTAAACAGATAGTTGCTACTTTATGTTCCTCTAATATATGATGAGTATCTGCCGTTTCTCCAATTCATTTTTAAAACATTGCTTAATTTAAAGTAACACAACAAATCACCATGGTTCCCTTAAATGATATTAGTGCCAATAGTGCCATGTAGCCCCCCATTGTAAGTAATCAAACCATCTTAGAAAGTCTTGACTTCTTTCCTGGGGTATAACTTGGCACTGTTCCCTGGCTCCTCATGGCAGCCAAGAGATAACATGATGACTATGTGAGGGCTTACAGCCACATAGAGTAAATACAATTACCTATTACACAGGTGTCCAGTGTTTTCAAGGGCTCTGCAGGAAAAATTTTGATGTGCAGAACCAAAAAGAAAACAAGCTTTTAACTGGAATTTATTTATTGAGCGAGATCAGCTGTAATCCTAGAAATGAACCTGGGAAAGAGAGTAGACAGGAGAAATGGAAAGGAGTTCGAGACAGCAAAACAAAAACTGAATGAGGAGAGATTGAAAAAAATAAAGCCTGAAGGTAAAAGAAACATATAAAAGTGGTCTCACAGAGACAGAAGTGTGAATGAGATGTTGATGGAATGCAGGCTGTCTATTTATACTGAGCAGAAAAGGTGCTCAAACTAGGTTCACATTTGCCTGTAGACAACCAGTGTACTTTAATTTATAAATAGTTTTCTTCTAACATTTTCTTTGAGTATCATTTCCTTTTGAAAAAGGAGAGCTGTAATAATGTTTTATTATCACTGAAAATAAAAAAAATTACACGTAATATAGCATCACTGTGCATTATTTCTTAATGGAAAGAAATATGTACGTGTGTTCTCTTTTTTATCTCATTTCATTGAATCTTCTGTCTTATATTTGTTCTATGGAGGTGGCAGTCCAAGTCATGAACTGTCAATGGACAGTGTAAAGGTTTGAAACCATCCCAGTGTGCATTTTTTAGATTTCCCGAGCATATGCCCAACATTAGGATCATGAACACACATTACCTCTCTGCCTGCATGGTTTGTAGTCAGATTAGCTATTCTTCTGAGCAGAGAACACTTAAAGATGACTGCCCCCAAAGAGAAAATATAAGCCAAGAGTTACAGTGAAAACAGTTATTTATTTGTATTGCCTTTGTACATGCATTACAAAACAATTCACAAAGAGGCTGTAATACATGTAATCTTTTAATTATAGTAATAATAACAATTTGCTTTTAAATATTACTGCTTATGTTTTAAGTGTAAGTTGAAAAATACATTTGAGCTTCTGCTGTGGACCAAAAAGACACCCCTTGAAGTGTATCCATATTACTCATAATTTCTACTCAACGCTACTATCTACCCTGTCATAAGTCCTGGTATTATTGTTAGTTTTTAAGTAATTCAAGTACTTGTTTGTTCAGATGACTAATTATCTATCTAAACAATATCTTCAGAAGCCAAGACTTACTTGATGACCTTGATTTCTATTAACTTGATCTGCATTATTTTATCCTAATCATTAAAACTATTTTCATTTCCTAAACCAGGTTAAAGTAGGTCTTAGGAAACTATCGGAGTTTTAAAACTTCAGTGTTTAATAAATAATCAGCCAAGTAACATTATATAATACCAAACAGTGCAGCACAAGTTATTTCAGAGAGTTGGCATTTGTGACCCTTAATAACATTGTATATGAAATGTACTCCCAAAGGTAAAATGCAGGTCTCTGTACAATAAGTTTAGTTTCAAGACTGAAAACAATCTGTCAGAGTATAATACCTCTGCCTCAAAGAATATCATATACTGTGTTTCTCAACATCGAAGATATAAAAATAAGCAAACCTGATGTATAGCTCTCATGAAAGATTAATATGTAGCATTAAATTAAACTCATCTTTGTGGGGGGAAATGACAAGGAATTTAACATTATAACAGAAAAGCTGCAAAAAGTTGGAGAAAGTATGTTTTAAATTTCTCTATTTTGTCCTAAAAAAGTTGCAATTCACCTCACCATTACCAGTTGAATGAATAACATTTTGAAATTTTGCAATTAAGTGATGCTCCATGTGTTGAGTTTTGGGATATTCTCATTGTAAGGGTTATAACCGGGAACAAGATCAACTAAACATGTATTCATTGAAAAAGTCAAGTCATTTACAAATCTTTAAATAAAATGCAATGCTTAACCTATACTTTGCTTATATAAAAGAGCACATTTATCGAAGATCAATATATATATATATATATATATATATATATATATATGTTCCAAGGATTCTGAATTACACAAAACAGAATAAATTATTCTGTAAATTTATACCTATCTGCCTATATGCTGGTTTTGACAAATCAAGCAAATCATAAACAATGTATAGCTTGACTTTTGAGAAAATCTGAATTTCACAGAACTGCATTTTACAAATCAAGAAGCAAATTAGAATACAGCATTAGTTTTATGTATTTTGGAATAAAATGCCTAACAGACAAATCCTTGCATCCATATTTGATCTCCTCTCAGTGTGCTGTTTCATATAGAAATATTAATATTAAGGCATTATTGACAGTTTAAGTGCCATGGTGGTATTGGCTTGCTCACTTATCTGGCATGTAAAGAATTATTACAGAAAAAAAAAATTACAGAAAAAAAAAACACTATCCTATTTCTCTTTATTATTTTTCAGTACTGTTGGAGGAACCTAACATGCTTCCAGTAGCTAAACCATTGACCCTAACACATATACACAAATAACTACTGATGACAGGAACTCAAGGCCGCTTGGAACCAACTCACAGATCACTAACAGACAATCTCACATCAATCAGACAATGCGTGAAACTGTGGTGGATTTTCAAAATTCCATGCCAGTTTCTTTCATCAAACACATCCTAACAAAAATAAATTGGTGTTTTGGAATCTCTATCAATTGTTTTCCACAAACTGTGGAGAACAACCACACACTATTTTTCAAAGTTAAAATTAAGAGACATCCCTTACACCTTTTACTGGTTGAGAATGCCACAGAACTCTTGGTGTTGCACTGTTCTGAAGCTATTCCTAACTTGACAGAGGTGCATAATCATGGTCAGTTTAGAGGTATGTGCAAAAACTGGCTTTTACGAAGCAATACAGCGCAAATAGTAGCCATTACTCTTAAATTTCATTAGCTCTAGCCAGAAGAAGGCATTCCACTCTTCTTCTAGCACTCAAGTCTTTGAAGAGATCTGAACTCCTCATTTATAGGATTCCATTCCACCTATCAGTTGACATGGAGTGTGCGACACACGTCTTTCTTTCAGTTAACAACGTGTGGCTCCATCGGCTCCTGATCTTTGCTCCCTTTGTCATCTTCCACCCGCAGATTTCCCATAGTGTGAGCAAGAGAAGCGTAGTGTTTGGGGAGAGGGAGAAGGCAGATGTAGAACAGGGGATTTTGGGATGCCAAGGCACCTCAGCAGATATTTTTGTCACAGCCTGTACAGGAAAGAGAAACACATACACAAGAAAGTCAAAACTCACCTCAACACGTTCAGATGTTTAAAAAGAGCTGAAGAGCCATACTGCTATCAAATTTAATTTTATCATTTCACAATATTGTTTACTTTTTACACTACAAAGATATGTACACAGGTACAGTTAGCTATGAATACACATACGTGAAATGTAATAGTAAACACATGATTAAGAAAAGTATTTTACTATTTACTGTTAAAGCTGCCCTTAACTTTTATGCACATTAAATATTAAATACTACAACTGTGGCCTATATTAGTGAGGTCCAGGTTTTGTACCACCATTTGACAATGTTTAAGAGATTAGCTAAATATATGTTTCTAATCAAGAAGAAAGGTATATACACTCAAACACTTCATTGGCTTTGCAAGATTTGGATGAAAAATTCTCTCACTTCATTTACAGATACCAACATTCCATGGATGGGCAAACAGGATACTTGAGCAAAGATACTGGTGCATTGACCACCAATGTCAACCACTTTCTGTTATATTTTTTAACGACACCTTGATAAAAGAACAGATATAGTATTGTGTACACATTTTATATTAAACTTATTAATCACGGGGCAGATTCATGTCTCTCTATGTGAGCCTAACATATCTAGGGCTTGTGAATATTGTAGATATGTAATGTTAATACTGCATTCCTGTTGACCTTCGTGTGCCTTTCTTATGATTTTTCATAACAAGTATATATTCAAACACTTTTTCCTAACCAAATTATATCTATTTATTTAACGGTTATTCTATTGGCCCTGGCCATCAGCTCCCCCAAGTCTCTTGTACTCTCTTTACCCAGTTTAAATAAATATTTCCTTTTGGTCAGAGTAATTTGCCCATTCCTTATATTTAATGTCACACGTAGCGATGTTGAGAACATAAAATTTTCGGTTCGCGAATGGCGAATGCGAACTTCCGCAAATGTTCGCGAACCGACCACAATAGTGATGAAAAAGTTGTTTCAAGGGGACTAACACCTGGACTGTGGCATGCCATGGAAAATTGCATAGTTGATGCAGAGTCTGGTTTTAATCCATAAAGGGCATAAATCACCTAACATTCCTAAATTGTTTGGAATAACGTGCTTTAATGTATTGATCAGGTAGTGTAAGGGTTACGCCCGCTTCATAGTGACAGACCAAACTCCCCGTTTAACGCACCGCAAACAACCGCAAACAGAGGCGGCTCTCTAATTAGGTGGTTCAGGCGGCCGCCTAAGGCCTCGCGCTGGCTGGGGCCTCGCGGCCGCCTAAACCACCTTATGGCAGACTGTGTCAGGTCCTCGGTCAGTGCGAGGCCCCTCTTGGCTGCCCGGCCACCATCGCAGACACAGGTCTGCAGCTCCGCAGTGAGCAGAGCTGCAGACCATGTGTCTTGCGAGAATTGGCCAATCAGAGCGTTGCCGCGGGTTACCACAGCAACGCTCTGATGGTCTCGCGATATTACACGGTCTGCAGCTCTGCGGAGCTGCAGACCGGAAGAAGTGGCCACTGGACCACCAGGGAAGAGAAGGTAGGCTCCCTCACCACCCTCAGCCTCCCCCCACCAGCCTCCCCACCCCTCCCAGCCTCCCCCCAGCCTCACCACCCTCAGCCTCCCCCACCAGCCTCCCCACCCCCCCACCAGACTCACCACCCTCAGCCTCCCCTCCCACCAGCCTCACCACCCTCAGCCTCTCCCACCAGCCTCCCCACCCCCCACCAGTCTCACCCTCAGCCCTCCCTCAGCCTTCCCACCCCCCCACCAGCCTCACCACCCTCAGCCTCACCACCCTCAGCCTTCCCACCCCCCCACCAGTCTCACCACCCACCCCAGCCATCCCCTCAGCCTTCCCACCCCCCACCAGCCTCACCACCACCCTCAGCCTTCCCACCCCCCCCAGCCAGCCTCACCACCACCCTCAGCCTCCCCACCCGAAGCTAAGCTGGAGGAGGATGGTGCGTCAAGGTTCCGAGCGGAAGCTGTAGAAGATTGGGTGTCCTGTGTTAGCCAGTCAACTATGTCCTCAGAACTTTTCGAGTTCAGGGTACGTGGCCTCTGAACACTGGGCATTATTCTAGGGCCAAAGGGAATCACAGCACCACCATGACGGCCCCTGCGGGTGGCCTGCCTCTGCCTGTCATTTTTTTTTCGATTAGTGGTACTATGCGTGCAAGCTACTGTGACAACAGATATGAGTGGCACTGTGCAGTGGCAGAAGTTGGCAGAGTAGACGCTGTAGGCCTGACACACACGCTTGCAGACAACTAACTGCTATTCAATCTATTACAGTCAATAATAAAAAAAAAAATTTAAATGTACACTACTGTTACACCAGAGTTGCACTGGTGTGACACTGTGTCCTGGCAGGCCCTGAAATGCACACGCGTGAAGGAAACTGACTGCTATTATATTACAGTCCAAAAAGGTTTTTTTTTTTTAAATGCAAGCTATTGGGACACCAGTGAGTGAGTGGTGGCACTGGGCAGGCCCTGAAACGCACACTCGTGAAGGAAACTGACTGCTATTATATTACAGTCCAAAAAGTTTTTTAAATGCAAGCTATTGGGACACCAGTGTTTTTTTTAAATGCAAGCTATTGGGACACTGTGACGAGAGCAACCTCGACACATTGCATTGGAGAAGCCTGGTTGCTTGCCTGTTACCTTTGGATTATGGCCCCATGTTACAAGACCCCTTTTTCTCTGCAGAAAATACTTATTCGTGCTTTTCTGCCCGGTAGATTCAATCTACCGAACAACCGCACGAATCACTGGACCACCTGGGAGCTGGAGTGTGCCGGCTGAGGGTGGTGGGGGGGAGGCTGAGGGTGGTGGGGGCTGGTGATGCTGAGGGTGGTGGGGGGAGCTGAGGGTGGTGGGGGTGGTGAGGCTGAGGGTGGTGTGGGGGTAGTGAGGCTGGGGTGGTGAGGCTGAGGGTGGTGTGGTGGTAGTGAGGCTGGGGGTGGTGTGGGGGGTAGTGAGGCTGAGGGTGTGGGGGGTAGTGAGGTCAGAGAGATCAGATGAGTCCTTCAGGACTGTAGTGGACACTGAATACACTAGCCTAGCTATCAATTTCCCTATCAAATCAGCAGCAGCTACACTGTCCCTCCTCTCACTAAGAATGCAGCTTCACAATCTGCTGCTGATTGGCTGGAATATGTCTGCTAACTGTGAGGTACAGGGTCAAAGTTTACTCAATGATGACGAATAGGGGGCGGACCGAAGAGCACATATGTTCGCCATCTGTGGCGAACGCGAACAAGCAATGTTCGCCAGGAACTATTCGCCAGCGAACCGTTCGGGACATCACTAGTCACACGTCTTAAATGCTCATAGTTATAGAATGTTCTTGGAAATGTAAGTCATACAGATGATTATTTGAGCCAATTTCATATTGTTAAGAGCAACAAATAAAAACATTTGATGGAAAACCAATCTATTTTGGTTTTAAAAAATAAAATAGTAATAATTAGAAAACGAGACGGTGCATTTCCCTAGAAAGTTGAGTGCAGTTTCTTCAATCTTTTTTAAACAGATCCCGTACTGCACATTGACAAGATATGTCTTCCTCTTGACAAGATATGAGTCAGCGTGCACATCCTTTCATTCCCTGGCACTTGTAAAACAATGTCTATGTTTCAAGCTGCAGAAGAAATAAAATAAACACTTACTCGGCTGACTTCCAGAAGTGTCCTGGATGAGAGAGGCGTCTATTGCGCTTTGGCAGTTTTTCCAGCATCTCCATAAGTTTGGTGAAAGTTGGCCGTTCTTCTTGCTCATAAGCCCAGCAGAAAAGCAAAATATCCTACAAATAAAAAAGTAGACAGTATATGTTGACTTCCTGAGATATGAGAAGTCTTCACTTGAGTAAATACATAAATCTGAAGGATAGTACTCTTTACAGACATCTCTGCCAGACATTGCTAGGTGGCAAAGAGGACCAGGGAAATATGGATATTTTATACGCTCCTTCCACATATATTGACTAATA